TATGTTTTTTCCAATTCAAGTTAGTGTCAATATGGATGCCTAATAATTTCACGCTATTTTGTTGATCAGATTTTACCCGTTTGTTTTTTCAGTATTTAGTTTAAAATTGTTTGCTGTAAACCAATTGGTGGCTCTCGCTACTGTTTCAGATTTTTTTACAGTTAATTCCTCGACCTCTTGGGCTACATTCAGAATGGTCCTGTCATCCGCATATAAAATAGCTGCATCTGCGTTCAGGTATTTTGGTAGATCGTTTATAAAAACAATGAAAAATATTGGTTCTAGGACAGACCCTTGAGGAACTCCGATATCTAAAGGCAATAATTCTGATTTTTCGCCCGAGAGTAAAACAACTCTTTGCTGTCTCCGACTCAAATAAGAGGAGAAGAGCTCAAGAGCTTCACCTCTGATTCCATAAAAATCTAATTTATTCAGGAGATAATCATGTGTTACACAATCGAATGCTTTAGATAAGTCAAGCATGGTAGCAGAAAAAAGTTTATTATCGTCTATTGACGTTGTGATTTTTTCAAGAATGGATATCAGTGCTTTCGTCGTTGATTTATTTGTACGGTAACCGTACTGCTCTTTAGCAAATAGTTGTTTACCCTCGAAATAAGAAACGACTCTGTTTTTAAGCAGTTGTTCCAAGATTTTCGAAAAGACTGGTAGTACTGAAATTGGTCTGAACATATTCACATCAGTTTTATTATTGGTTTTGGGAATGGGAACCACTTTGGCAATCTTCAGTTCATCTGGGAATATTCTTTGTTCCAGACACTTATTGAAAATGTAGCATAATAAAGGTACTGTAATATTTATATCATAAATATCCCTACTGTTGGAATTTTTCAAGTTTCTCACAATGCTCTTAATTTCATCCTCAGTGATGGGTGTAATGAAGAAAGATTCGCAAGGGGAACTATGGGTATTTTTCAGGGATTGTATAGAATCCATATCACCTTTGGGCAGTAAGTTTAGGATATTCTTTCCGACATTAACAAAAAATTTATTGAAATTATCAGCTGAAATGCTGTAATCATTCCTTTCAGATTTGCCTACTTGAGACTTTATCAGTGTCCAGATTGCTTTGGATTTATTTGTCGAGTTTTCAATAAATTCTTTATTTGCATTGCGTTTTGCTTTATCTATTTCTTTTTTATAGTTTGATTTCATTCTCTTGTAAATACCAGATATTTCTTGTGATGGATGGCATTTTTTTACAATATTTATAGCATCTAGTAAGTTTCTCATTTCTTTCAATTCCAAAATATGATAAGTAAACCTTTTTCACAAAGTCTGTAATGTTTCTTTGATTTTTTTAATAACAAACTCACCACAAATATAACAAAACTGTCAGCAGAGTTCTTACAACCGTGATTAGACATTTTAATGAGCACATGTACTGGAAACCAGAAAGTAAGATTAGGTTGACAGTAAATAAAACATCAGCTGTGAACAGAACAATATAATTCATCTTTTTCTGGACAGTAAATGTGTTTTAGCAGTGCTGCCAACTTTTCTGTAGTATATAAAAGCTGTTAAATTTTGTAATGAATCAAAAAATTTAATATTTTAATGTGCAAATGTGAAAAAATGGTAGGTGATACGGCTTATTGTGTTATATTTGGATTTAGCACCCTAAAAAACAGAATAATGAGGTGGTATTTTAAGTAAAAAAGTTCTTTCATCGTTGTCCTGTATTATCGATACATGATCATCGAACGTTGTAGCACAATTTCCTCCATATTTCCGAAACTAGTTACTGGAACATATATGTTGTAAATTATTAAAGTAATACTCTCATTCAACCCTCATTCTCGCTATAACCTAAAAAGCTACTCTTGACAACGACGTGTAGTGAATTTTTAACGAGCAGCGAAACTTTAGAAGTAAAAGGGTCCTTTGCTCTGAAGAGAAGCATTCGTGGAACATGTTCCAAAGAAGGATATTTCCCTGAAGTTTATTACGGCTTGGAAAACTAAGAAATGAACTTGGAATATTCTATAGTTCAAGTAAACGATATAGTGCCCCCTACCTTCCAGCAGTTCCCCTTTAATAAAATAGTTAGGGAGCTAACTAATTTTGTTATTCAATAATCATTTCTGATTCTGAATAAGTAGGGACTCAAATCACAGAGTGATGATTGAAAATACTTCTGAATATTACTTACTCGCACTCGTACAAATTTGGGATCAATGTGTTTTCAAACAATTTCTCGAAAATATTAGCTTCTATGTTCTTAATATAGTCAACATTGCAGTCCTCAAGTTTTTTCCACATAATTTCAAAGAATTCGGAACCCATCTTTCACTTCCTCCGTAATGCACAATGATGCTCATTTTTCTTTGAACAGTTACGAAAATAAGCAAAATTGTCACATATGGGACAATTAAAATCCTAGGAAGATTCACGATAAGCCAATGCATGCTCATCTCTTCGTGTGACAGTTTTTGGCCTAGGGTTTAGTTGGTCCAAATGAAGGCGAACAAGCTGTTACAATAAACGGAGAGCGAGCAAGCGATTGATGATTTTTATATGATGTGATGATGGACATGGATGTAGGGAAATCATGGTTCCAACAAGATGTTGCGACATGCCATACAGCAAGAGAAAAATTGAATTTATGGCGTACACAGTTTGGAGGGAGGACAATTGGAACAAGAAATTAAACGGATAATTCGTGACATAACGCCACAAATGTATTTGAAAGTAATGGAAAATTTCAAGAAAAGAAGTAACTGTGTGCTGCCGGAGAAGTTTTGTTGGTCATTTGGCAGATATATTGTGTTTCACATATAATTGTTCACTGTTTAGTTACACACTGCCTTGAATGAATTTCAAGTATGTTAAAAACCGCGCATGTCTTCGAAACTATAACTCGGATAGTGACCATTTTTTTAACACGCCTTTATTAGCTTCGCCTGTATGTATGTATGTTTGTTTGTTTGTTTGTAACTCGCAAGCTCGGGATCTGTATTTGACAGAATTATCAACATTATTGTTTGATCTATTCGCGGGCAGACGGCGCTGTACATAACCTCCTTGATATATCGACATAATTATTTGATCTATTCGTGGCCTTATTTGTAACCCTCCTTTGCGCGCCTGCTGCCTTGGGTTTGGTAGCTTATTTTCTGCCTCCCTCTCTGGAATTGGAAAATATCAATGGTCATTTTTCTAAACAATATACGGCTGACCTATCCCAATGTTAGTATAAAATAAATATAGTTTAAAAAGGTTAAAAAACGCGCTTTTATTGCTTAAGCAAACTAAAACATGAAAAACAAATATAGTTCAAAAAACTAAAAAACACGTAAGCGTATTTTTTAGTTTTTTAAACTATATTTATTTTATGAATTACATTTACCTCACCTCGGGGAACATTGCTAAGTTCATCAAATTGGTTCAGTAGTTTCCAAGATACGATTACGAATAAGTGTGACGATCGGGCTTAATGATACAAACTATGGGTGTAGTGTCAAAAGGAAGCCAATTTTCATTTTCTAGTACATATAAGAAAAAATCAAAATGGTCGAAACCAAACTAGCGTTAAGGCATAAATCCGTTGCAAGACCAAAAATAAATAATAGGATTGCCGGATCATCCGATAATAAATAATCCGACATAAATAATCAAATAGACTCGAAAGAAAGAAATTAACCGACTCAAAAGTATGAAATATAATTTTTTACACGAAATATAATCGGTCTGCGGTAATTTTGTTACAACTATATCTTATTCTTTTCCGTCGAAAATTTCTAATGGCGTCATATCAGGTAAACTAACGAATCATTTTAAGGAGTCATGACGGCGTAGATGGTGGGGGATAATTGGCATACCCAAAAGAGTTTTCAACTGGTATTACGATTCATTAATACCTATGACAGACTAGCTAAATGACAATTATCAAAGCCAGTGACTAGGTAGACGTGGTTTCTCAGAATAGCTCGCTAGATCATGTCATATGACTCCCTTAGATTTCTTGTGGAGATTCGTGTAATTTCAGGTATACATATATAATGTGTTTTATAATTATCCTTAGATATTCTGTGGAACAGTAAAAGAATAACCAAAATTGAGTTGCTCTGAAAAGTATGGAACGCCGTTTTACTTTTTATTGTCACAAATATTCATTCCTCAATTTATTCAACTAACAATTTATTTGTTTGAATTTAATTGACTCATGCATTTGTTCGACACATTAAAAACGATTGTTCGCAAAATTTGTTCTATTTTAAATGACACTTGATTTAAAATGTTACATGAATAAAATNCATTCTTCAACATTAATTAATCTCAAACTAACCTGAAAAGAGAAACAACATTTAAAGCTATTGCTTCACCAGTTCCTATTAATTAATTGTTTAAATTGCAATATCTTCTTCAACATAACCTACATATTCATCACATGGAGACATGTGACCCACAGAACCATAGATTCCAAAGAGTTCACAGATAAATTATACAAAAGTTATTACGCGGCAAATTCAAACTGTTCAAACTAAATGAAGTGTCACTCACTTCGTTTACACATATACAGCAATTCATTCCAGAACACATGGAAAGAATAAGAGGTATTTGCAACGAAAGGTACATCTTCAGTTTCAGCCATATATCAATGATCTTTTGGGTACAAATTAGCAGCGAAAATTCCGTGAAAGTTTTTGCAAATTTTCAACAGGGTAATTCTTATAAACGTAAACAAGGGGTTGTTTAGAATATAACCTTTGTCACTGTTAAAAGTTTGGAGACTATCAAAAGCATCCAAGAATCCAGTGTCATGTATATACCGATCTCAACAATTTTAAGCAGTATTCTTTGATCATTCTTCAAAGTATACTCAGCGACAGTAGACTTTTCAAGCCTCCGAAACGGGATATGTGCAACGTGTTCTTTGAAACGAGATTCGATAGCGCATTTAGTCTGACCAACATATTTTTCACAGTCCTGACAGTTTGTTTTAAATATCCTCGACTATTTGTTTTTCATTATTTCAGGGATCGGAGAGGCAACCGTTCAACTGCAGGAGCCAGAATCGGCCTCGTTCATCGAAAGGGGAAGCAACGTTACTCTGAGGTGTCATCTGGACGCGTCCGGGGAGGTCCATTTCGAGTGGTTTCGGTAAGTAAGAGCGCAAATGTAAGCGGCCCTGATCCCCCGTAACGTTCCGTTGTGGTGGTATCAATGACAGCAGAAAAGCATAGCGGGTCGCCACTAAATACGTCAAGGGGAAACAAATTCCATGCTAATTTCATTTTCTTTTGCCGTTCAGTAGACGCCAAGGGGGGAATCCATTACAGTCCACGCGTCATCAATACCTGACGCGATTTTACACACTCTTTTATGAGGCATCCCTTTGTCTTACAAATATAAAATGAAGATAAAACAGTTAATGTTTGTTTTTATCGACTGGAACTATTGAGCTTTGCATAATCTGAAAAAATAAAAATTAGTAATGGCTATCTTCATAAAGATGTAGAAAGGACAAACTTATCGTTTTCTCTAGATAACTGTTTACTACTAAAATCAAGACAGTGTTACACATATAGTCCGCAACATATGGAAGTTCACTGAAAGTGTAGATGTCAAATATGACTCCCAAATCTTTAAAGATCAAACCTTTTTTCAAAAATTGAGTTATCAATGGTATATAGTCCACGCGTCATCAATACCTGACGCGATTTTACACACTTTTTTATGAGGCATCCCTTTGTCTTACAAATATAAAATGAAGATAAAACAGTTAATGTTTGTTTTTATCGACTGGGACTATTGAGCTTTGCAAAATCTGAAAAAATGAAAATTAGTAAGGGATATCTTCATAAAGGTGTAGAAAGGACAAACTTATCGTTTTCTCTAGATAACTGTTTACTACTAAAATCAAGACAGAGTTACACATATAGTCCGCAACATATGGAAGTTCTCTCAAAGAATAGCTGTCAAATGACCCCCCAAATCTGTAAAGATAAACATCTTTCAAAAATTGAGTTATCAATGGTATAGCTGTACGTCAAGGCCGTGCCCAGGGAGGGGTCCGGACCATTCCCCTCTGGCGTTATACAAAATTGCTCAAACACAGCGAAAACATTGCTCTGAACGCGACATATATGAGCGCTAAGGTTCAAAATGATCTGATATCAATTTGTGGTAAAATATTTCAGAAGAAAATTGTAAAATGTTCAAATGAAGCGAAACTGTTCTCTGTTTTAGTAGACAAAACTGCTGATTTTTCGGGACACGAAAAACATTCACTATGTGTTAGCTCAGGGCTAGTGCTAGAGTGCCACCAAGATTTAGCCAAAGCCTCGGTAGATAATAACATTATCCTGAGGTGAATTGAAGGGCACGATAGGAGTAAAGGTAATCGCATTGCCCACTCTTTAGCGGCTGGACTAAGAAATTTAGGACCCAGTGGCACCAATGGCCTGATGACTTCGACAAATGCGGAACTAGCCAAAACGTGACACCAGTGACCAGGAAAAATCTACGCTTAACAGTAGGATTTCTGACTGGCCACTGTCAACTAAGGAAATACCTCCACACTATGGGGCTAGTAGTCACACCTCTATGCAGGATGTGTGAACAGGAAGATGAAACTGCCAGGCATGTCCTATGCTAATGTCCAGAGTTATCGTCGATAAAAGAGTATGTGTTCGGCGAGTCTGGGCCTACATCTGCCGATATAAGGGAGATGTCTCCCAGAGACCTGTCCACCTTCCTGGAAAGGACAGGATGGACGATGACCTACAAAGTTCGAAACTTGTTATGTGGTAAAAGAAGATTTTCTCGTATTTGTAAAGGTCGATAATACAACTGCACAATCATTGGCTGACACGATCATAGCGTTCCTAAAAAAAACCTTAACATTAACTGCAAGAATATAGTGGAACTGGGGTACAATGGTGCAGCTATAATGAAAAGTACTTTTAATGGCGGAAATCATATCCCCGAGCTCTGTTTGTCCATTGCAGCTCTCATTCTTCAAACTTGGTCCTTTGTCAATTGTGAAAGCAATTGGAATTTTATTGAGAGCATCTCCAAAGCGAACAATCTTCCTTCAGGCACGCATTAGGGCCAACTTTCCTGATGCAACATGGCAAAAATTAACCTCAATATGTGAATCGCACAAACGGCTTGTTGAAATTCATACAACATTTTAAATCTATCATTGAGACTTTGGAACACTTCAGCACAGACTCGGATATGGATACCTCAACCAAAGCTTCTTCTTTTCTGAGATCTCTTACAGCGAATTATTGGTATCACTCTGGTTTTGGCGAAGGTATTTGCAGCAACATTAATAGTATGCAAAGTCCTGCAGTCACCTTTTTGTGACTTGTAAACAGCTGTCGACCATATTGAGAACGTACTAACGCACTTTCAAAATATTCGATCCAATATTGAAAAATACTTTTCAAATTTATTTACAGAAGCAAAGGATTTATTGACCGATGTCAATGAAGAGATCAAACTTCCACGGTTGACAATTTCCCAGCTCAAAATACGATTTACTCATCACAAGAAAGTGATTGCTGCTATCTACACTCTTATACCAACAGTTTGTTCCGGGAAGGAAACGCCAGTCCCAAGAGAGGACCTAGTGATGTACGAGGACCTGGTGGAACTAGACGAGATACAAGGCAAATTTCAGCAATGGAAATTGTTGTGGCAGGGCAAAAGCCCTTCGGACCGGCCTCCTTGCGCCATTGAGGCTGTCGAAGAGTGCAACAGGCAATTGTATCCCAACATTTTCATGTTGTTGAACATCCTGTCGACTCTACCAGTAAGCACGTGCACCCCGGAACGGTCATTTTCCACACTTAGGCGCCTAAAAACCTACCTACGGAATTCTTGTGGGCAAGAGAGGCTAACCGGGTGTGGCCTAATGGCAATTCACAGAGATGTCATCATCCCAACATCCCAACTGATGATGTTATAACGGAATTTGCTGATAAAAAGTTTAGAAGACTTGATTTTGTATTGTGAATTCACTGAACTGGAAATTTGGGGTTAACATATTCGTTTCAAAAACGAATATGTTAGTACAGTTTTTTTAGTGCCAATGTAATGGTGATTAATTAAATTTGAGTTAGCAGGCCTTTTTTGAGACCTCCTCGAACCAAAAATATGGGCACGTGATAGGATAGAGTTTCCTGCTGACTGTTGAAACTGTACATTTGGATATGTTAAGTTTCAAGCAATTAACACCTCTGCAAGAAGGTTAATATGGTTTGTTAAAGTAAAGTTCATTCATAAATACCTGTTATGGGGCTATATATTTTCAAGTCATCAGCAAATAGTAGACGGTTGAATCTCAGTTCAAATGAGAGATGATTAATGAAAGTAATAAAGGAGAGTGGACCCAAATTTGACCCCTGCGAGACACTTGAGGTGGATATGTACTGTGTAGGAGGAATGGCACAGAAAAACCAACTGCTCTGAGTGGATTTAACACTAAATAATGGGCAATACTACGAGTATCGATTGCTTTTTAAATGTCGGTATAAATGACATCAACCTGGCCTTATGAATCCAGAACTTCATGAATAAAAGCTCCTGGTAATAAAGCCTTGCTGACTCGGTGAGATACTATTTCTAACTAACTGATAGATGACATCATATAATAATATTTCGAATAGTTTACCAAAGTTACATAAAATCGTGATTGGTCTTAAGTTGGCACAACTTCTCATTATTTCTTGGGTTATTTTGTTTCTCGTTGTAAACTATGTTACAAACATTTACAAACAATTCTATTCAAAACAAATTGCCAGTATTATTATTCATCTCAACTGCGAAAATAAACAACTTTTGCTCAACAGTTGAATGCAAATGGCAATGCTCACTCGAATTATTTGTGATTTCAGAAATGCGGACCGTTTAACGAAATCAGCCAGGCTTGAAATTAAGAAAAGAAGGATCCACATAAAGTCTGTGGAAGCGACAGACAACGGAGTTTACAGATGCGTCGCCAAGAATGAAGCAGGCGTGCAGCACAGCACGAAGAATTTTGCACTCGCCGTTCCCGGTACGTTGATTATTCATTTTATGTCCGATGTGAATGAGCTTTCATAACCTGAGGGAGCCGTTGACTAATTTTGCCGGCTGTTTTATCCGGGATGTTCTTTTATTTCATTATTGATTAGGGTGTAATTGGGGAAAGGATGTTGGATGCATCCTTGCGATTTTTTATTGTTCACAAATAACTGGACACTGAAAACAAGCCTTCTGAATTGAAAAGGGAGTATTTTTAAGAGACATGTTTTTTTTTTGGGGAAAAGCTTTTTAACTTTCTACTTTCAAATTCCGTAGTAGTTGTTTTCTGATAGGCGTCAGTCCATTAAACCTACTGTGTAGGTATATAGAGACTGGCTTGAACGTTTGAAGTTCCATTTGCTTTAGAACCTTCAAAGATATATGATCATTACTAAAGCAGTTATTGAGACAACTGTGTCAAAATTATTTTACGCTCACCAATTACAATATTGAAACGGAGACAAATTCCAACATTGTAGTTTATGCGTGGAGACACTTCATCGAGATATGAAGTTAGGTCCTGGAGACACTAGTGTCCTTCGACGTGGTCTCCTTATAGATGGTTCCGATGAAGGATACGATACGGCTAATTAGCGAAGTATCCCCAGCAGATATAACCACCCCCTTCGCTTATTGTTTAGCATCAAATTATTTCCAGTGTAATGGTGCTTTTTACGAACTAACGGATGGTATCACCGGGCAATCCATTGAGCCCGGCGATGGCAAACTTTTTCATGGAAAATTTCGAACAACGAGCCTTAAAGCAAGCGGCCGTGAAACCATATTGTTGGTTCCGCTTTGTTCATCATAGGTTTATGATATGGCAAGATAGTGAACAGACACTAAAACACATTTCTATTATGTCTAAACTCTCCAAAAATCCAATTCACAACAGAACAAGAAACCCGAAGGATTATAGCCTTCTTGAAAGTTCTGGAACATACGCGAAGATGGTACATTGGGCCACAGATTGTACAGAAAACCAACACACAGGGACAT